AAAAAAAAAAAGAATCGCATTTTCAGCTGTTCCTGGTAAGCCAAGAAACATGGGCGCAGCGGATATCAGCAAGGATTCGCTAACGCTGAAGTGGGAGCCTCCAGAAGACGACGGCGGTGCCCCGGTTGAAAATTATATCGTTGAAAGGCGGGACAAGTCGGAAAAAGATTGGAATGAGGTGGGAAGGGAACCAGCTGTCGAAGGCAAAACAGTATACACGCTGCTCGATGACAAAGTTGTTGAAGGAAAAGAATACTATTATCGAGTGCGAGCTGTCAATAAAGCCGGCCCTGGAGATCCTTGTGATCATGGGCGCGCTTTCAAAATTGTTGCTAAGCCAGGTGCTATTTCTACCGCTGCATGAAATGAAAAAACTAGAAACTTGAGTTTTGTTTCCGGTCAGTGTTGTCGTGAATGAAAGCGAAGAAAACCTTATTCTTATTCAGTTAATTACCCTGTGGAGGGTTTTCACTCGCATACTTACTTTGGGATCAGGAGCAAACGTGACTTAGATTGAATAAATTAGCTGACATACTGCTGGTATATCATTTATTGCTTATTAGACTTTCGAAGAAAATTGTTGATTTATTTTTTTATTACTTACTAATTCGTTGTTAAAATGAAATAAACTATTCTATCACGTTTTTTTAGCGATAATACATGCAGGTGGGCTGAATTACTGATTTTCAGAACCTCCTTCATTTCCGGAAGGAGGCATTTACGATTTAAAAGTAAAAGTTGGCGAAACAATCAAGTATGATCTTGTAATCGGTGGTGAGCCGGTGCCAAAAGCAATTTGGACTGCCAACGGTAAATCAGTGAAGTCTGGCGGCAGGTGCAAAATGACCATCGAACGCGGGAAACATTTATTTAAGGTTTGTTTTTAAACGCCAAAACTTTTTTTTAGATCTTACTATTCTCATCGTTTCACTACGAGCAAATAAAAAGAAATTTGAAAAATAATCTTTAAGAATCCACTCTGTTGGAAATTTTTGTTAATCGCTATTCCTGCTGCAGCTAGAAAATGCAGAAAGAGCTGATTCTGGACAATACACTCTAGTCCTCAAAAACGACAGTGGAAAATGTGATTCAACAGCAACAGTAACAGTTGTCGGACCACCAGAACCGCCAAAAGGACCGCTAGAAATATCGGATATCTGCGGTGATGGAGCTACATTGGCATGGAAGCCACCTGATGATGACGGTGGTGAACCCATACAAGGCAAAATTTATTAAAATTTTTTTTTAAAATTTTGACGTCTTTCACTAATTTCGATCTGAGAGGACGGACAAAAACAATTTGCAGAATATATCGTGGAAGCTCTGGATATTGATGAAAAAGGAAAATTTGTGCCTGTAGGCTCAACATCGGGTGCCGAAACAAAAATCGTCGTACATGGTTTGAAAAACAAAGGCAATTACAAATTTAGGTAAGTTCTTCAGCACTGTGAGAAAATTTGGCAAGAATATCGCTCGCAGCAGATTTTACGAAATTTTTTATGTACGATCATCGAAAGAATTAGGTTAAATTGTGGCAGTCAAGCAAAATGAGGTTTACAGATTTTATTAGCGCAATAGCGCTGCTACAGCCAGCAAAACGCATATTGTCGAGAAGCTGTCTGTGTGT